TCTCGAAGCGTATGAACCCGGTTGGACAGCAACTCATGACAATGACATGGAATTAAGCCTAACGGAACCAGGACAGGCCAGTCAACAGTCGACAAACTGTAACTGTACGTCTCGGCCATGTTTCATTACTCTTACACAAGCATTAATCAAAGTGCAATTTAGTTTTCATGTTCGTAGCATCTATAGTGCAATCAATACTAACATCATGAGAAGTTTACTGCATTTATCCCTTGTTTTTATTGAACTTACTGATTAGTGTAAATTGGTTTTGCATCAACATGATTGCATTATTACGACATAATACTTATGAGCATTGGATGTTCATCGAAGTAGTAGCATTGTTTGGCGCTGTTATTATGGGAATTCCACCCCCCATAATTCATTGTCTATTGATTCAATGTGTTTCAATCATAATTTATCTCATAAAATGCACTTTTCATTCACGACATTGGTGTCTCACCCTTTCTTTGAGTTGAGGTTCTCTTTAATGTCATACCCCTACTGACATGAGATTACCAATCAAATGTTTGGTTCTTCGAATGTCGTCATACTGCATAACCCCATATTTTACTTATGTTGCTTGGAATTGGATATGAGTTCCAGATACATGTATGTTTTGGTCGTATTTTTCTAAGTTTTCCATGTATATGGAGAATCTTTGAACTTCATATTCTTGTACCTATGAGTCGGAAACAAATGATTCAAGAAAAAATGAAATGTCTGAGCAATATCGACTGTAACCCATCTTGAGAACAAGTCATACTAATTTCTCGCCTTTTTTACCGTGTCTTTTGACTTCTGATATGTTTTTGTGTCCACAGGAATCTCTATTGTAGCTACATATGTCCGATATCCTCAATTATGTTTATTTTGATCGATTTGCAAGATCTTGACTTGGTGGTTTGTAGTCTTTTGCCGAATCCCGGTCCCTTGGAAACCGAACGAGTACGTTGTCTGTCCTCCCTTAATACTATATGTAGTTTCTCTCCATGCTTTTCAGGGAAGAAATGGAGAAATAGGAAGGACCATTTGATTTTGATGACTTGAGTGCTCTTATTTATGACTTGGTCTTGATTTGGGGTTCGATTTCTAATAGTTCTGTTTCCTTTCTCTCATATTGGAGTTGGGATGCAAGTGAGATATTTATGCTAATCAATTTCGATCGAAAAATTCGTTTCCTTCGTTGTTGAATCGAGCTTAAGCAACTTGATTAATCTTAACGCTCAAGACAAATGAAGAGTCGAAATAACATAATCAAATACACAAATGTAAATTCATCGAACACCATGTATTTGCAGCCGGAATATATAACATGTTGGCCTCCCGATTTCGATTCTTATATGCCATATTTTTTGCTTCTCCATTCCAAAAGTTTGAGGTCAGGTTCTCAATCCATAATTGATGAGCTTGAGTATGTTCAAATCACATTGTCTCCAACATCAGGCACAAAGAGAGAAGCATAGTGTCTCAGATTCATACCATATTTACCCAGACAACAGTTCAGATGGGCCAGGGTGTTCCAAGTATAACTGCAAACCAAGAGGGTCACTGTTCATCGACTTGATCGGAGTTATCAATGGAGGTTGTTGCCACTGTTTGGTGTCGGTTGGTATCCACATCTCCACAACCTTGCTTGCACTAACCTGAGGGAGTGCGCGGAAGTAAGCCGTGATCTCCCACCTACAATCTGTAAAATAGCAACACAGATAGCCCTTACTGGATAACAGGAATCTATAAATTGTTGCATGGACCGAATAAGAATGTTAAAATTCAGTTAATCAGTTGGTTAATTTAATTAATCGAAATTTATATATAATTAAATATTATATATTTTTTGGTTAATTTGGTCAAAGCCGAAGTTTAAACACTCTTAAAATAAAGTAATATGTATATAGTATATTAAATATATAAGGTAAAATTATATATTTTTTTAAGTCGGGTCGGGTAAGGTATTTTTCACCCTAAACCTGACTCGAACATCATATTTAAAAAACCGACCTGACCCGAACTCGATTAAAAAAAAAACTCAACCCGATTGGGTTGGGTCGGAACCCATCGGGTTCGGGTCTCATGCCCATCCCTAGATAAGAGTAATACAAGTTAACTTATTTCTTGGGGACGGCAACCTCTTCATATAGATTGAATATTTGGTCAATCTTTTAAGTATTTATAATTCTACCCCTCATCAAATTATAAATACACCTTATGGTATCTACACTTTGATTTCACAATACTTTAATACATATAACACATGTAACATAATTAGTCATTTAATTTTGTCATACTTTATGATAACATTGTACGATATACATATGTGCCCACAAATATATATGGATTTTAATCCAACAACATGAACTTTGATAAATATACAATCAGTATAAGAATATATTTTTTTTATCGATATTTGATTATAAGTAGAAATTTGTATCAAATAAGACTCCATGTAATATGAATTTTCTTTTTTATTGTAATATAATTTTATTTATAATATCAAGTAATCAACTTTATAAACATGTAATAGTAACACACGATTTTTCTATTATATATATATATATATATATATATATATATATTTATTTATTTTTTATATTCTCGTTTTTACTCGATATTACACATAAATTACGTTGTTTAGACCAAAATCACTAAACGAAAATAAAATTCTCTTCAATCACTATGATCACTACAAGATTCGACATGATAAATTTAAATATGATTAATACCAAGGGCGTATATAGGGTTAGGCGTACCTAGGCCAGGGCACACCCCATGCCCCAAAATATATAATGTATTAAATAATTTAAATATATATTATGTTAAAAAAGTATATTGGTTTTACTATATATTTTCTAGATTTACTTTAAATATATATAGTTATTTTATATTTAGATTAACAACTATATACAAATTATTTTAGATAAAATTTTAGGTATGATAACAAAATTAGTCCCTAATATTTATTAAAATTAGTCCGTAATTTTATGTATTCGCCATTGATTAATACATCATATATATATATATATATATATATCATAACTATTTTATTATTTTTATTATAAATTTAATATAAATACGAATTATTAAATGTATCTAACCTTTTTAACTATTTGTAAAAGTTGATTGCAATTAAATTAATTAATTAATTAATTAATATAAAAAGAAAAAGAATGGGCACAATAAAGGAAAAAAGGGTACCTCTAGTAAAGGCAAAGCTACAGAGAAATCCATGAAGAACACGTATGTATCTTTTTGATCTGGTTTTCATGTCTTTTCCTTCTTCCAATTTCTTAATGCATAATTAAAAATAGATTTTCAACATAAACACGTAGAATAAATCTAAAAAATACGACAATTTTAAATTTTCAAGGGGTGACTACCCTCACCTACCTCTCCTCTCGATCAATTTTTGGGTTAAACTGATAATGTTCAAGCCGTACATTCTGTAGAAGATTTAAAGATCGATAATATTTCTCTTTCGTCGGTTTGAATAGTATTCAGGTTGCAATAAAGATATCGGATGAGGAAAATATGATAAACCCGTCTATTAATTGATTAGTTTCGATTAGGTACTGCAAAGACTTATTATAGGAACATATCTTTTACTATGATGTTCTGTATTCACGTCGGGTTTTAAACATTTGACGCTATTTAAAAGATTTAGTGTTTTAACCTCGATTTACCGTGGGAGAAAGTTCAATCATTTGATCCCTCTCCCTGTTTTCTTCTATAGTTTGCTTTTTCTTTTTCCAATAGAATTAAGAAAGCCAGCCATAGACATCACGCTCTCAAAAAAAGACTCCTGCTTCTTCCCTGTATCTTTTGTATAAAAAACACTAAAGATTCAATAAAGCAAAAGCAGATACAAAAAAAGCTCAAACACCAAATCAAACGAGGGTAAACTACAAAAACGGTCCCCGATTATAGGATGTTGTTTTATTAAGTCCTTCAACTTTTAAAAGTTATAAAATGATCCCTTAGGGTGTTGTTTTGTAGAGTGTCCCGACTATTAAAAGTTACAAAATGATCACTCAATTTTTCGTATGTTCCAAATTCGTCAGTTTTCATTAAAAAATTGGTAATCGTCTAAGCTGGATGTTAACCTGTTGACTTTGAATGTGATATGATAAAATATGGTACAAGAACCGTTTGGGTTGTATTTTATGAATCCACTCTCCGTTTACATTATGACATCGAGTCGGTGCTTAAAACATTATGTTGTGGAGCCATTACTTGAAAGGAAGGACGGTGCCAATAGAAATCATTAAAATGTGGTTCCATCGTATCCCAGTCAACAGATTAACGTCCAACTCAGATGACCATCAATTTTTTAACGAAAAATAACGAGTTTGAAACATATGAATAGTTGAGCTACCATTTTATAACGTTTGGGGTAAATTACATGTTTAGTATCTAACATATCAGTTTTGATCCGTTTTAGTACCTAAACTTCTAATTTTTTCAAAACCATACCCAACATTTAGTTTTTGTTTCATTTTAGTACCCCTTTTGTTAAAAACTTAACGTGTTTAGTACCTAAACTATTAGGTTTGGTCCATTTTAGTACCCAAACTTTCAATTTTTTTCAAAATTTAATGTTAAAATTTTAACGGGTACTAAAATGATACAAAACTAAACGTTAGGTATGATTTTGAAAAATTGAAAGTTTAAATACTAAAATGGAGCAAAACTGATAATATAGATACTAAACGTGTGGTTTACCCTAACTTTTAATAGTTGGGACACAATGAAAAACAACACCCATAGTTTCCGAGGAACCATTTTACAACATTTAAAAGTAGAATCACTCAACAAAACAACCTCTTACAGTTGAGGAACCATTTGTATACTTTACCCATCAAACAAACAAATATTAACAAATCATCTTTCCATCTTCCCACCAAAAAAGCCAAGACCCTAAGCAGAAAACACACCCCATTAAGCAAACGTTAAAGCAAAAACCACAACACTCCCACTTGTTATATACCCTTTACCCCCCTCGTTAAGCTTTCCCTTTTCACTGCAAAAATGTCGACTGAGATTGTTCCCGTTGATGATCCCATCGAAGAACCCTGCAGACCGGAGAAAAGGCCAGTGGTTTACCGTGAAGAAGAAGAAGGTGAAGGCACTAAGGGTGTTATTAGGTCAATTACTTATGGTGAAAGTAGTAGTAGTAGTGGAGGGTATGTTCCTGAAGTGTTCAACAGTGAAAGCTTGCCTTCGAATTTGGCTTCTGAAATCCAGAGGTTTCTTCGAGTTGCTAACATGTTGGAATGGAAAGCCCCTCGTGTTGCTTATCTTTGTAAGTCCTTTTTAACAAAAAAATTTTCATTGTCTTTGTATTCTATCTCTATATGGTTAGAGGGACAATCGTTCTTCGTATATGTCTTGAGTTCAAACAATTATCGTGTCGTTAATAATTAAAAAATATTCTAAACATATACTATCGTATTATCGCTCTATATTATTAAAAAAAGGTTGAGTTTGTTCATTAATGAAGTTAATGAAATTATGAATTTGAGTATCATGGTTGAAATCTGTTAGCAAATCTTATTCAATGAATTTAGGGTAAACTACGCGTTTAGTATTTAAAATTATCAGTTTTGGTCCGTTTTAGTACTTAAACTTTTTTTTCATAACTATACTCAATGTTTAATTTTTGTTTCATTTTAGCATCCCACCGTTAAAAAGTTAATGCATTTAGTACCTAAACTATTAGTTTTGGTTTGTTTTAGTACATAAACATTTCAATATTTTTTCAACGTTAAATTTTTAACGGATACTAAAATAAAACAAAAATTAAATATCAAGTGTGCTTTTGCAAAAATTAAAAGTTTAAGTATTAAAATGAACTAAAAATGATAATTTAAATACTAAATATGTAGTTTACCCATTATGAAGTTTAGATCAAAAATATATCTAACGTACCCAATTATCATGTAGCAGAGATGGTTAAAGTACACAAATGATTTTTTAATTACAGGGTGTTATTTTATTGACGACTATTAAAAACTTAAAAAGGCTTCTCAATTATAGGGTGTCGTTTTATTGGGTGTCTCGATAACTAAAAGTTACAAAACAATCACTCGACTATTCATATGTTCTAAACTCGTCATTTTTCATTAAAAAATTGACGACTGTCTAAGCGTAATATTAACCTACCAACTGGGATATGATAAAATCGTATTGTAGTGATGTCCATCGGCACAACTGTACTTTCAAGCACTGGCTTGATGATATAATTTTTAAGTACAGACTCGACGACGTAATATACGGAGAGTCGATCCACAAAATACAACTCAAACGATTATGTGATCAAAATTTTTCATATTCCAATTAACATATTAATATCCAACTTAGAAAGGCCACCAATTTTTTAACAGAAATTAACGAGTTTGAAACATATGAATAGTGAAACAACTCAATAAACAACACCCAGATTAGAACACCAACGCTAATTATGTTGCATTTTTGGACAGGTCGGTTTCATGCTTTCGAAATAGCACACAGTTTGGACCGTAATTCAACAGGAAGGAAAGTTCGACAGTTTAAAACCTTGCTTCTTCAGCGCCTTGAACGTGTAAGGACTTCATTCTCCTATTGCGAAAGAAATTGGAGTACTTATTCTTTCGTATCCGTCCCCATACTCGTATCAGTACAACATAGATTTCAACCCTACATCTGTTTCTTCCTGCACTTAATTTGTCATCCCTTGTTTTTCATGCTGATAGGATGAAGAAACTTCCAAAACAACTAGGCAGGAACCAAGTGACTCGAGAGAACTCAAACGTGTTTATGATGAAAACAGAAGATATATCAACCAGCATGCCGAAACATTCGATTTGGAAAACAGGTAAAAATGCATACTTTGTGGATTCTTCACTCTTGTTTATGTATCATTATATGTCCCCTGCAAGAAATTAATGTGTTCTTCCTTTCTTGATTAGTCATGGAGAGAAATTGCTCGATGCGTGTCGAATTGTTTCGGTGTTGTATGAAGTTCTAAAGACAGTTATAGCTGGTCATCAGGTTCTATCTTTTTCCCTATGATTTAGCCTTCTTACCTATCTGGACTTTGTTGCTAAGCTTACCATTTTATGTCTATTTCTTCTTTTGAAGGCCCTTGCTGATAGAGATAGTATTCGAGCCCGATCCGAGATGTTCGCGTACAATATTCTTCCGCTCGATCATGGAGGTATTCAGCAAGCGATTATGAAACTCCCTGAGGTTTGATGCTGCTTGAACACACTCTAATATTCTTTTATATTTGCAGTTGGAGGAACAGATTGTTGACAGACTAATGAACTTTTGCAGATCAAACTTGCTATCGGAGTTATTCGTAACGTCCGTGGTCTACCGGCAACCGAAAACGTTCCGAAACGTGGAACTTTCGTCGATTCTTTCGAGTTTCTCCAGTATGCTTTTGGGTTCCAGGTACTGAAACTTGTGTAACATGTTATGGAATAGTGTCCTTTGTGTGTTCCTATTGCATTGAAGACTAGAGTGAAGTTCATATTATAAACATTGTTGTTTCTTTTACAGAAAGAAAGTGTAGCCAACCAGAGGGAACATCTTATTCTACTCCTCGCTAACGCCCTTTCTCGGCAGCCGAAGAAATCGTCTACCTTGGAGGTGATTTAGCTTCTTTCTTGAGTCCCCGACTATAGGACGCTACTTTGTTGAGTCCTCAAACTATTAAAAATTATAAAATAATCCCCCAACTCTAGGGCATTGCTATTCATTTGTTTCAAACTCGTCTTTTTCCTTCAAAAAATTGACGGTCGTCTGAGCTAGACGTCAACCTATTGACTAGAATATGATAAAATCTGATCTCAAAATCGTTTTAGTTGTATTGTGTGGATTGACTCACTATTTATATTTTTTCGCCGAGTCAGTATTTGAAAACAACGACATTACCCGTAGACATAATTAAAATATGATTTTATCATATGTTAGAAGTTAAAATTCAGCTCAGACAGTTGTCAAATTTTAACGGAAAATGCTTGAAACATATTAATAGTCGGGTGACCATTTTGTAGCTTTTAATAGTCAAGATATTATTTTGTAACTTTTAATAGTCGGGGTACTCAACAAAGCAATACTCTATAGTCAGGGGACCACTTTGCAACTTTTAATAGTCGAGAGACTCAACAAAGCAGTGTCCTATAGTCGGGGACTATTTTGTAACATTAATTGTTGAGAGACTGAACAAAGCAGACTCTATAGTCGTAGGACTATTTTGTAACTTTTAATAGTCGAGGTACTCAACAAAGCAACACCCTATAGTTGAGGGATCATTTTATAACTTTTAATCGTTAGCGGACTCAACGAAGCAGACCCTATAGTCTGGGGACCATTTGTATACTTTACCCTAAAAGTTTGAAACTTTTTTATTTGACATGCATATAATGATACCAGATAATTGATGCATCTATTGATGAGCTGATGAGAAAGTTCTTCAAAAATTATACAAACTGGTGCAAATATTTGGTCAGAAAAAGCAGTATAAGGTAAGAGAGAACGGAATTTTTTACTTTCCCCTTCAATCAATTTGTGTTCATTTCTTTGCTATTAATTTCTTCTGTCCCTTTAATCTGAAAATTACAAGCAACTCCTTAACTTTTATGAAAAAACTATTTTGGTCCTTTCAGGTTGCCTTGTGTCAAACAAGATGCCCAGCAATACAAAATTCTATATATAGGTCTTTATCTTCTTATTTGGGGAGAGGCTGCGAACTTGCGATTTATGCCGGAATGTCTTTGTTACATCTTTCACCATGTAAGCTGAAATATCGGGTTTTTGTCGATTAATTCGTTATGGTACGATGCACTCATGGTTCTAGTATAGTGAGCATAAACCCTGTAAGTGACAGACAGAGATCAGCATTCAGTACAGATGAACTGAAACAACTAGTTGAAGTGCGTGTAGTATATAGTAGTTGCATTTTGTGTTATTTCGATATATCGAAAAATTCGTGACATCCTTTTGCGGATTTACACCAGATGGCGTATGAATTGCATGGTATGTTAACTGGTGCGGTTAGTATGACGACCGGTGAAACCGTCATGCCGGCGTACGGAGGAAGCCACGAGTCTTTCCTTAGCAATGTGGTTACCCCGATATACAAAGTTATATATGAGGTATTGTTTGGTGTCGATTCTCATCCTTCTGGTTCCTCTTTATGTATCTAACTTTGTTTTCGAAATTGAAGGAAGCTCAGAAAAACAAAAGTGGAACAGCTGACCATACGACATGGAGGAACTACGATGACCTGAATGAATTTTTCTGGTTAGTTCTTCGTTTCTGAATTGTTCTGCTTTTCCTTGTCCGTATATTATATTTCGAGACGTCAAGACATCGGTAATCATAACTGCCGATTTCAGGTCTCCTGATTGTTTCCAAATAGGTTGGCCTATGCGTACGGAACATGACTTCTTCTTCACGAAATCTCCTCAGAAGGAAAAAGGAACCAAAGATGAAGAGCTGCCTAAGAAGGAAGAAGGCACCGAAAATGAAGAGCTGCTTAATAAGGAAAAAGTAACTGAAGATGAAGAGATGGGGTTAAGTAATGTAAGCCATAAATACGGATATAATACTTGTTCCTTGATGTTAGGAATAAATTATTGCAGGCTTTCAACCGCTAGGCCTAACCGCTCCATAATCGACATACGGTCAGCATTTATGTCTTTGTTGTTCTGCTTTTTTTCTCCAGCAGGTGCCTTCGAAGGAGAATCGTGAACCGAAATGGTTAGGGAAGACGAATTTTGCGGAGATCCGTTCCTTTTGGCAAGTTTTTAGGAGCTTCGATAGGATGTGGAGCTTTTTCATACTATCCCTTCAGGTTTGTTTACTCGATGACTGCTACTCGTGCTAAATATATATCGCGTTGGGATCATCGGATCTGTTTCCTTTTTCAGGCAATGATAATTATGGCTTGCCATGATGTTGGATCTCCACTGGAAGTGTTCGATAAGGTGGTATTGGAGGATGTTATGAGCATCTTCATAACATCTGCGGTTCTTAAGCTCATTCAAGGTATGCATATATGTATGCCTATGCATGAGTACGTGCACATATAATGCTTGTCCTTACACATCTTTGTTCCTACAGCAATTCTTGAAATTATCTTCACTTGGAAAGCAAGAAACACCATGGAGTTATCTCAAAAACGGATACAAGTCCTAAGGCTCGGTTCTGCAGTGATATGGACCGTCGTTCTTCCGGTCATTTACGCTCATTCCAGGAGGAAATACACTTGTTATTCCACACAATACGAAAGCTGGCTCGGACAATGGTGCTATTCCTCCTACATGGTTGCAGTGGTAATATACCTAATGATTAATGCAGTTGATCTGGTGTTGTTTTTTGTCCCGGCCGTTAGCAAGTACATCGAGATCTCGAACTGGCGAATCTGCAAAACTTTATGTAGGTGGGCACAGGTACAAATCATTTCCTTCTCTAATTCCTCTTTCTGGGTGAAATTTGTATGCTTCATTGAATCACTCATATGCTTAGAGAGCAATTCTTTTCATTTTGTAGCCTAGACTATACGTTGGACGGGGAATGCAAGAGACTCAAGTTTCTCTTTTCAAGTATGGTCCATGTTCTTATTGTGAAGCTTTATAAGAATCTCGTTTCTTTCTGAATTGGTCCTTAAACTTTCGATATTTCAATTTCGTTCTCAGACTATGACTCTCGTTTTAAATTAGTCCTTAAACTTTTGACTATTCAAATTTCATCCCTAAACTATGACCATATTTCTAAACTGGTCTCCAAACTTTTTAATCTTCAAATGTCATCCCTAAATACATCCAAATATGTAATCAGTTCAACTATAGTGTAACCTACATTTTTTTTCAAACATATAGTATTATAACTTGGACTAACGATTTTATTAACAATGGATGTGATTAGTATATGCATATAATTTGGGATAAAATTGGAATGTTCAAAAAGTTTGGGGACTAATTTAGAATAAAGATTATAGTTTGGGAATGAAATTAGAATACTCAAAAGTTGGAGGGCTAATTAAGAATGATAATAATAGTTAAGAGACGAAATTGAAACATTTAAAAGTTTAAATCATAGTTAAGAGATGAAATTGAAACATTTAAAAGTTTAAGGACCAATTTGAAATGAAAGACATATTTTAAGGACATGTGATGTAGTTAACCCTTTCTTTCTTTTACTTTTAAAAATTAATTACGTCTTTTTATTACAATATAGGTATACATTTTTTTGGATACTTGTGTTGTCAACCAAGTTAGTGTTCAGCTACAGTTTTGAGGTGAGCAACAATTTAACTGCCTCGTGTTACGAGATCATAATAATCATAGTATTAAATTACGATTACAGTCGTTATAATGTGATTTGTTTCTTAAAAATAATGATATTTTTATATTACGGTTTACGGTATCGCAGTGATCTTGAAAAACGTTATGATTCCCTTTTACTTCCAAAATTTTAATTCTTACTATTGATCAAACAATGTAGATAAAGCCCCTAATAGCACCAACGAGAGAAATTATGAAAATTGGTGTGCAAATATACGATTGGCATGAGCTTTTCCCTAAAGGTATGCTCCAATTCTTTGTTTTTTGTCTCTGTAATTTTTTTTACATGATTTTAAGGGTAAAATACACAAATGGTCCCTCGTTGCTTTGCTGAAATCCGATTATTAAAAGTTACAAAATAGTCACTCGACTATTCATATGTTCCAAACTCATCCTTTTCCATATGGTAGTATGAGATGGATGCTAACCTGTTGATTGAAATATGACAGTCGCTTGAGATTTTGATATCAGATTTTTTCATATCTCAGTCAACAAGTTAACATCCAACTCATACTACCATCAATTTTTTAAACGGAAAAGGACGAGTTGGAAACATATGAATAGTCAGTTGATCATTTTGTAACTTTTAATAGTCGGGACTCAACAAAGCAACGCCCTATAATCGGGAGACCACTTCGTAACTTTTAATTCGAGACACAACAAGACAACGCCCTATAGTCGGGAGACCATTTGAGCTGTATTTGTAATATGAAGCATTCATCTTGTTTTCCAGTCAGGAACAATGCTGGTGCTATTGTGGCAGTCTGGGCTCCCATAATAGTTGTAAGTTTTTCCCCGGCAATTTCTCTTTAACCTAGAAAGTATAGCTGTACAGAAACTTTGTTTCCAAGCAAGTAATGTTCTTGGATCCTAGAAACTTTGTTCAATGTTGCTTTTGACCCCCAACATTCATATACTGTTTCAAAATCATCCCAGGTGTATTTCATGGACACACAAATCTGGTATTCTGTTTATTGTACAATCTGTGGAGGACTTTATGGCATTTTGCATCATCTTGGAGAGGTATGACCTTATTTCCTTCCATAAAAAGCATACCACTATGTCGATATATACGTAATAGTACTTGTTATATAGATCCGGACGCTGGGAATGCTGAGAAGTAGATTTCACTCCTTGCCGTCTGCGTTCAACCGCCTTATCCCGCCGCAATTGAATAAGAGTCGGACGAAAAATTTCCTCCAGAACATATTCTGCAAGGTACATGGTCCGGAACTTAGACTATTTATGATAAGTTCTTATGATCATTGAGCCGATGATGATGCTATTTCAGGCGTCGAAGAGTGAAGTATTGGATCAGAAATTTGTTCTAGTATGGAACAAAATTATCAGAAATTTTAGATCAGAGGACTTGATAAGCAACAGGGAAATGGATTTGATGACAATACCTACATCAGGGTTGTTCCCTGGTTTTATTTGTTGGCCCATTTTTCTTCTTGCAAATAAGGTATGGTTTTTCATAAGAAAATATTTGTTTTTCTTTTTTTTTTCTGTTTCATCGTTGCTCGTCTACGTTAACATTGCTCCATCGTTTAGTTTTCGACTGCCGTGAGCATCGCAAGAGATTTCGTGGGGAAGGACGAGAAACTCTTTAAACGGATTCGAAAAGATGAGTACATGTACTTTTCTGTAAAGGAGTGCTATGAGTCGGTGAAGTTCATCCTCGATGTTCTTATTGTCGGTGACCTGGAAAAGAGGTAGGAAGCAACATAAGCAACATCATGCATATATGTGTATGTATGTATGTTCCAGTTTTGTATGTTAACTTATATATTTGTTGGTTAGGATTGTATCGAACATCTTGAACGAAATCGATCGAAGCATTGAAGAATCGAGCTTTCTTAAGGAATTCAAGATGAGTGCACTCCCAGCTCTACAAGCTAAATTTGTTGAGTTGCTTGAATTGCTGGTAAGTGTTTATGCCACTAAAAAGCTAAGTTGTTAATGTTAACATTAACAAAACCGGTGTTCGAAATCTTGTAACTCGTTACGCGGTATGATATAAGGTTGAGGGAAACGAAAACCAGAGTAGTAAAGTTGTGGAAGTTCTCCAAGATATGTTTGAGCTTTTAACAAACGATATGATGGCAAACGGTCACAGGTTTCATGCTTGGACTCTTTTTCTTGTACCATTTCTGAAGAGAAGTTAATTTCGTTCACCTTTCTGAAATCCATCTTTCAAATGCATGCAGAATAGTGGATTTGATAGAATCCTCCCCGGAAGCCGGTGATGATTCTTCTTTTTTCTCCGGAAAGATCGAACCACAGTTATTCGAATCTGTTGCTAGCCAGACTTCTATATTTTTTCCTTTGCCTGACGATGGCCCTCTGATAGAACAGGTAACGGTTTCCTCTCATCCCTTGCTTTTACTTCAAGGCATTGCCGATTTTCAAGTATCGTAATTTGAAATTTAATCGTCGTATGGCAGATTAAGCGGTTGCATTTGTTGCTTACCGTCAAAGATAAGGCGATGGACATACCGGCAAACTTGGAAGCCCGAAGGCGAATCTCGTTCTTCGCTACTTCACTCTTTATGGATATGCCTAATGCTCCTGAAGTTGGCAGTATGCTGTCTTTCAGGTCGAACTGTCTTCTCTTGTCGAACCGTTTATGTCTTCAGCTGTACAAAAATTGTGTCTGAACCAACGTGTTATGTTTCCTACAGCGTTATGACGCCGCATTTCATGGAGGACGTAAATTTTTCGCTTAAGGAGCTGCAATCGAGCAAAGGACAAGTTTCTATCATCTTCTATATGCAAAATATCTTCCCAGGTATTAAAATATCATCTATGTAGTAACTGGTATTGAGAACGAGAACTATGTTACATTGAAGTACCTGCATTGGTACAGCTTCAAATCGCATAACATTCCTTCGTTTTTGTTAGACGAGTGGAAGAACTTTTTGGAGCGTATGGGGTATCAAAACTTCGACGAACTAATGGATGACGGCAAGGAGGAAGAAATCAGAAGATGGGCTTCTTTCCGTGGCCAAACGCTAAGCAGAACAGGTGCCGAACATTTCGTAGTAAAATACATTAACGACCTTGCAAGTGAACCTCGAATTGTTCGAAAATATGATTCCTAATTCTGTTCTTTTCGATGTGGCAGTTAGAGGGATTATGTACTATAGACAAGCCTTAAAACTACAAGCACTTCTTGAAAGGCCCGAGTATAAAGGTTACTGATCCTCTGCCTGTGATTCAATGTTCAATAAGGATTTCATCAGCATCAGATATATGTTAATGAGAATGGTTAAATTAATTAGCTATCTGTGTTGATCCAGATGTTCTCGAGGACATTAACATTGTCGAAAGAAACAATCCCAAGTTATCTGCTGAACTAGATGCCTTAGCAGACATGAAGTTCACGTACGTCGTCTCGTGTCAAATGTTCGGATCGCATAAATCGTCTGGAGACCCTCGTGCTGAAGACATAAAGGAGTTGATGATAAGGTAGCCTACCAAAACATAGTAGAACTGCATAAATATCAAATCATTAGAAAAAATTACAATTTCTTCTCTGCAGGTATCCGGCTCTACGAGTTGCGTATATCGAAGAGAAAGAAGAAATAGTAGGAGATAAGCCTCAAAAGATGGGGGAGGAGCCTCCAAAGGTTTATTCTTCTATATTGGCAAAAGCTGTTGGTTCCTTTGACCAGGTATTAAGTCACAAAAGTTGTTTAAACATTGTTAAATAACCTCTAAGCATATCTGTTTTGCATTACCCTGCAGGTAATATATCGAATAAAACTTCCCGGTCCGCCGATCATCGGTGAAGGAAAGCCGGAAAATCAAAACCATGCCATAATCTTCACACGTGGAGACGCTCTCCAAACCATCGATATGAACCAAGTATGTTCTTGCTCCTGAAAATGAAAATTCCATTGCCCTGCATGCATTTGTAAATCTCATGCTGGTTCAAATTTTCAGGACAGTTATTTGGAAGAAGCTCTCAAAGTGAGAAATCTTCTGCAAGAATTTCTTCAAAACCATGGCCGGCGCCCTCCGACGATACTCGGTTTGAGGGAACACATATTCACCGGAAGGTTTAATCCTTTGAACTTGTAAATGATTATTACGATTAGTCCATGGACTTGTGTTTACGTTATTAGTAAATGTTACCCAAGGACAAAGTAAGAACAAGAAACAACCTAGCAATAACTCATCATTTTCCTTTAAAAATTGACGATCGTCTGAGGTGGACGTTAACTTGAATGACTATATAATGCAAACAGTTCTGGGATATTTTTTACACTTAAAGACTGAAAAATCACTCTTTTTAAACTGCAGCGTTTCTTCTTTAGCATGGTTTATGTCATACCAGGAAACCAGCTTTGTCACCATTGGTCAAAGGCTTCTCGCCAACCCTCTCAGGTAACCGATGCCTTTATCGTACGACAATCGCGGTATATCGTGTCGCTTAAAATGCACTGCCCTTATAAATTTTTGTTAGGTTAAGGCTCAGATTGTTCTATTCTGCAATTACTTGATACCCAAGTCATGTGATCATTGCTTTTTTCATTAAAGTTCTGCTTTTATACAGGGTGCGTTTTCACTATGGGCATCCAGATGTATTCGATCGGCTGTTTCACATCACAAGAGGAGGAATAAGCAAAGCATCAAAAACAATAAACTTGAGTGAGGATGTATTTGCCGGTATGTTCTGTGAATTCCGATTTTATGTACTAACCGTTTCGTCATAGACTCGTAGTTGCTTTACGCTGAAGTAAACTCGATACCTTGTGAAGGATTTAACTCGACCTTGCGGCGGGGATGTATCACGTATCACGAGTACCTGCAAGTCGGCAAAGGTCGTGATGTAGGCCTTAATCAAATCTCAAGGTTTGAAGCCAAAGTTGCTAATGGGAACAGTGAACAAACTATAAGCCGTGACATACACCGTCTCGGTCGTCGATTCGATTTCTTTAGGATGCTGTCTTGTTACTTCACAACCATTGGATTTTACTTCAGTAGCCTGGTAATTCTCTCACACTAAATAAATTTCTGATCTGATTTCTTCCTTTCTAATCTTCTGTTCTGTAAAAAACCAGATTTCTGTACTCGGAATTTACGTGTTCCTCTACGGGCAGCTATACCTTGTTCTTAGTGGACTGCAGAAGGCTCTTCTTATCGAGGCTCGAATGCATAACATTGAGTCATTGGAAACTGCTCTTGCTTCACAATCGTTTATTCAGCTCGGGCTTTTAACCGGCTTACCGATGGTAATGGAGATCGGACTCGAGAAGGGATTTCTTACAGCCCTTAAAGATTTTGTTCTGATGCAACTGCAGCTTGCTGCTGTTTTCTTCACTTTCTCCCTCGGAACAAAAACACATCATTTTGGTCGAACACTTATGTACGGAGGAGCTCAGTATATACCTACTGGCCGTAAGGTTGTCGTTTTTCATGCAAGCTTCACCGAGAACTACAGATTGTATTCGCGAAGCCACTTCGTTAAAGGATTTGAACTGGTACTCCTGTTAGTCGTTTACGATTTGTTCCGGAGGTCGTACCAGAGTAGCATGGCGTATGTATTAATCACTTACTCGGTTTGGTTCATGACCATAACTTGGTTGTTTGCACCCTTTCTGTTTAATCCTTCCGGTTTCGATTGGGACAAGATAGTTGATGACTGGAAAGGCTGGAATAAGTGGATCAAGGAGCAAGGCGGTATTGGGATTCGGCAAGATAAGAGTTGGCAATCCTGGTGGAACGATGAACAAGCTCACCTTCGTCGTTCAGGGTACGGTGCTAGATTGTTCGAAATTCTGCTCTCGATTCGGTTTTTCTTGTATCAATATGGCTTGGTCTATCATCTTGACATCTCCCAACAGAGCAAAAACTTCCTGGTTTATGTGCTTTCCTGGGTTGTTATTCTTGCAGTTTTCTTGACAGTCAAGGTAGAATTCATTCGAGTATCGTAATTTTCAGTTTTCACTTCTGTTTTCTCACTTGATATCGAACTTTATTTCGCGAAATCCGAATTAGTCTAGAATTTTGGGCATCGATAACCCGATTTCCACATGACATACAGGCAGTGAACATTGGAAAGCAACTCTTCAGTGCTAATTACCATCTGATGTTTAGATTCTTTAAGGCATTCCTCTTCCTAAGTGTCTTCTCCATCGTTATCACGCTCTCGGTCATCTGCGAACTATCGACGAAGGATATACTCGTCTGCTGCCTCGCATTTCTGCCGACCGGATGGGGTTTGATACTGGTATGTTTCTTGGACTAGGGGACAACGAGTGTCGGATCCGGATACACATAACTCCGTTCGAACTTCATTCATACTTTCGACGTCACATATTTCGTTTTTCATGTCTTGTCTTCAGGTTGCTCAAGCTGTGAGACCGATCATCGAAAACACCGGATTCTGGCACTTCACCGAGGTACTTGCGCAGGCGTACGATTACGGAATGGGAACGATCCTTTTCTCACCGATCGCAGTCTTGGCTTGGCTTCCGATCATTTCGGCGTTCCAAACTCGATTCCTTTTCAACCAAGCTTTCAACAGGCATCTGCAAATCCAACCAATTCTTGCAGCCAAGAAGCAGAAATGAAATTTTGACAAAATTTATTTGTACATTTCAAATATAGAGAGATATATAGCTGTAAATAACAATGATTCATCACTTCAATATATATATATATATACCTTTCTATATATAATTGTTTCAGAATTTTTTTAACCAATTGATAACGAAGCTACACACCCATTGCGAACGTAGTTATTTGAACTCGAAATCTTTAGGAGAACACTCTATTATACCACTAAGATTAAGATAACTGAATGAGTTTACAAATAGCGGGTTAAGTCAAAGCGGGTTAAAAAAGTTGGGTAAATTATATTTTTAGTACCTAAACTATCAATTTTAGCTCGTTTTAGTATCTAAACTTTTATTTTTTTTTTCAAAATGGTACCTAAAGTTTAGTTTTTGTAGTACCTCGCCATTAAAAACTTAACGGACGTGTTGACATGGCATAGCTCTAGTGGACAGACGATCAATCCGAACGGTGGACTACGAGAGAATGACAAGTCGATTAACACAGTCTAGTTTTATGTTCATCGGACAATGGACCGTGAAGATCGGAGAATGAAGAAATCGAAGATTCTATCGTCGATTTGGGGAGATTGAGACGAAGACTGAAATCTTGTTAAGGGGTCGAAAAAATGTGGGCTGAAAGACTAAAAAATGTAGACATGATCTTTTGAAAGAATAAAAATTTAAGTATTAAAATAAATCAAAAGTGATAGTTAGATGCATAGTTTATGTTAGGAAATTAGTAAATTTGAAGGCTAAACTATAAATAAACCATTACATTCCTTTAACAGCAGAAAGCTTTAAAGCTCTCCCCAGTTCTTTCTTCTTCCTCTAATGGCGAAAAGCATGATTTCACGTTCCCTTCTTTCTTCCATCAAAAACTCCCACCTCCAAAAATTTCCCTCACTTTCCCACCATCCAAACACCACCAAAATCCCACCTTTTAAACCCCATTCATTTTCCTCCCCATTTTCCACCATTTCCCCTCCGCTTTTCAAACTAACCCACAAAGACTGGCTCTCCCCGACCGAAATCCTCAAAATATTTGAAAATATCAAAGACCCAGACTCAATAAATTCGGTCCTAAACCAATACTCAGCTCGAAAAGATTATAAACCGACCGAACCGCTCTTCACTCTGGTCATCAACAATCTGGCATGTGCCCAGGATTTTGTTTCCATCGAAAACATCATGGAAAAGCTCAAACGCGAGAAAGCTTGTCGTTTTTCCGATGATTTCTTCCAGAATGTGATTAAGAAATACGGGCACGTCGGAGGTCGAATCAGACTGGCGATCGAGACCCTTTTTAGCATGCCGGAATACGGGACTTGGCCTAGTGTTAAGACCTTCAACATCGTATTGAGCTTACTCGTGAATAATAAATTGTTCGATGTTGTTCATGAGGTTTATATGAAAGCTCCCGATTTGGGTATTGAAATCGAAACTTGTACTTTGAATATTCTGATCAAAGGGTTGTGTGGAAATAGGAAAGTGGAGTTTGCATTACAATTGCTCGACGAATTTCCTAAACAAAGGTGTAAGCCTAATGTTAGGACTTATTCGACGTTAATGCACGGGTTGTGTGAGGAGGGGAAGGTCGATGAAGCTTTCGAGTTGATGGGGAGGATGGAAATGGAAGGGATCGAGGCCGATGCCGTTAGCTTTAACATTTTGATTTCGGGTCTTAGAAAGCAAGGCAGGCTTGAAGAAGGTGTGAAGCTTTTGGAAACGATGAAAATGAGAGGGTGTTATCCCAATGCAGGGTCTTATCAGGAGGTGTTGTATGGTTTGCTCGATGCCGAGAGGTTTATTGAAGCGAAAGAGGTTATTGGGAGAATGGTTTTCGAGAGGGTTGATCCGAGTTTCGATTCGTTCAAGAAGTTGATTCATGGCTTTTGTAAGGTGAAGATGGTGAAGGAAGTTGATTGGGCTTTGAAACATATGCTGCGCCATGGTTTTGTTCCTAAGAGGGGGGTGTGGATTCAGATTGTTGACTGTGTTCTTGCAGGGAAGAACACTTGTGACTGTAGTTTGCTCAGTGAAATCATCGATAGCTAGCAGCAACGCGATGCTAAGTCCATTAGCTTGTGGTTTCAGCTTATGTTACTCGAACACGAATGAATGTCGGATACAAATAAATTTTAAGGGTTTTAGAAGATTATGTCTCCATATCCATATATGAATATGTGCTGAACATGAATTTCGCTTTGAAACAAATGGTACACCATGGATTTGTTCCTAAGAAGGGGATGTAGATTCAGATTGTTGACTGTGTTTTTGCAGGGAAGAAGAAGAACACTTGTGGCAGGCGGCAACGGAGATTCAAATGGCTGTCGCGACAATATTATAGGTTTATTATCTTCTGGTTTCGGCTTATGTTACTTGCATACAGATGTAACCCCCTAGACCCGGCCTATGAGTTTCGATTAAGTCTAGTGGATCACATTATAATTATTAAAGACATTTTTCGCAACCGTTATTCCATCAATATAAAATCACATTATAAAAACATGAAATTATAAACAATTTATACTATCAAAATCCAACTTGTAAATATAGTACAAATAAATAATAATTTAATTTAAAACATGTCTTCAAATTCAAAATCACAATGAACCGAGCAGTAGTAGCAAAAGTGTTATCATTATAAAATCCGATATTTTAAAATAAGGTCCATGTCACCAAAATAAAGTAAACTTGCCAGATAAAAACATTACAATCTGATTTACTTCAAGAGATATGTTGATCCTCCAAGTGCTCGAACCAAGGTATCTACCCAACAGTATCTGAAAGGGGAAAACATTTTCAAAAGGTGAGCTAGGCTCAGTGTGTCCCAACATTTCCATAAAATCACAATAGGTACAAATCATATTCCAGTAATCTCACAAATTCGTAAAAGAGTTTTAACTTTTTGAAAATCATAGTTTAAACCCTTTTCTGGTACACCATCAGTAGTTCCCAAAATTATTTCCATATAGCTTAATTTATGCACATAGCAAAAAGAAAGCCGACTTAAGGATAGGCTCTGAAGCTTGTATCCTTAAGCCCAAGTCAATAAGTCCATATAGCTTACCCTAAGCACACAGCAAAGGAAAGCCGACCTAATGAAACATCTTGGGGCCCTCAAGAGTCACATTAGGCCCATTTAGCTTGATCAGAGCTATTCCATCGTATTTCAATTCCAAAATTCAATTGCACCGTGACATAAACTCCATAAATCCAAAAACATGGTAATCATATACCATTTCAAAACAAAAATTAGATAGCAGCCATATTCCATAAATTGTCACATTAAATTGGTGCATCCATAAAACAATAGCCAATGAATTCGGTGTACCACGTATTAAAACCAATAAAACAGTTCAATAACAAGTAGGGAACACACCTCGACAATAGATTCAAATAACAAATCTACTGATTGCTGGTTTCACCACGCTCTGCTACAGTTTTCGAACGGGTAAATACTGGCACACGTGGTTTAACTGATCTAGAAGAGCTGGGTCGAGCTGTCGAACGATCCGGAGAGTCTCTTGTACCTTCAAACAATAATATTTATCAGTCTCAAATCCTATTTAATTGTTCAAAGCTAAACTTCTTAAGTATATACACATTTTTAGGGTTTGACTATCAATTTGAGGTATTTCGAGTCTGAATTTGGCCAAACGGATTACGGAATCGGAATCAGGGCGTCGAAAAACATAAAGTATGACTTTTCGAAAATTCAAATTCTTGGTCAAAGTCAAATTCAACCACTTTGACCGTAGATTTGGAGACCTTCGGATTCGAATTTGACAAAACGGACCACGGAAACGGATTCGGCACGTCGAAAACTATCAGGATAGGTATACTCGGAAAAGATTAACGGTCGTTTAATGCTCGGTCAAAGCCATTTTAAGTTTTGGTCAAAGAAAGTCAATGGTCAACGGTCAACGGTCAACGGTCGGGTCGGGTCGGGTCAACGGTCGGGTCAGGTCGGGTCAACGGTCGGGTCGGGTCAACGGTCGGGTCGGGTCAAACCGATTCAGACCGGTCAAACCGGTCAAACCGATTCAGACCGGTCAAACCGGTTCGAACTGGTTGAAACCGGTCAAACCGGTCAGAACCGGTTGAAAACCGGTTAAACCGGTTTCCAGCAGCCACTCGCCCTGCGGCGGCGCGTGTGGCGCGTGAGGCGTCCTCCGGGGCCCTAAAAATCCCGGAAAAATTTCTAAAAATTATTTTGAGCGATTTCAAGATACTTACAACGATCGGTTCAAATTTTTGAACGGCGGAGAGCTCAATTTCAAATCGGCCGAATCTTTGACTGCACCACCTCCTCACGCGCCGCCGTCTACGGCGGACAAGGTTGACACCGGTGAACTCGGAACGGCACAAGGAACACGATGGTGCGGGAGGTGTCGTAAACGGAGCAACGATCAGCGGTGAATTTAAGATTTCCTCGGCGATAGAGCTAACAAAACCGTCGCTACTTTGACTGGAAATTCCCGACGTTTGGCCGCGTTTCGCTTCAATTAATTTGAAGGGTTTGTTCCTCGCTCGATGATGAACACAACGGTGGTTTCAAAACAACGATCGGAATTCGGACGGCGTCGGAATCGGCTTTGAAGTAGAGTGCGGGAGGAGGAATTTCACAATTGTTTTCTGTTTTGAAAACAGAAAACCATTCATACGCTTAAATGAAATTTTCTGCCGACACTAAAAGGAGTAATGCAGGGCTTGGTCTCTGAATTTCCTTTAACTTCTAAAATGGCCTACAATTTTGAAAACTTTCGATTTAATCCTCAAATTTTGCCAAATTACTTAATTAAATTTTTTTTTCTCTAAATTTTATTCCGGGTTGTTACAACAGATGTACGAGTATCGGATACGAACATTTTTGAAGAGTTATTCCATTGTTGAGTGCTTCATTTCGAACGAGGACAGGGATGAAGGTCTTAGGTCGAAATGCCAGAGACCTTCTGAGTGTAATTGGATAGAAAGTCCCCTACCTTATAAACATTTTCGGATTGTTTCGAATATAAAACAGTGTAAAGCAATGCCTTGGTAACAAAATTATTTGTATAAAGCATGATCATTGCAAGTTTAGTTTCTTTTTATTAATGCATCTTGGTAAATAAATATCACACAGATGCCATCAACAACAAAGACCAAGTTTATAAGGAAAAGGCCTTTCAAATCGATTTATCGTCTACATGTATGGCAAATGAATGTCAATCATCATAACAATGCCTATATGATCCTACATCGGCTTGGCTTCTAATATTACATATACTATTACATTAGGCGTACGATAAAGGAAAGGAGAGACTCGATCAAACCTAAACTAGCAACATGATAACGACAGCGAAATATACGAATGGTCGGTCACCGCAAACCAAGCATGTAATGCAACGCTACACCCGAACAAAGGTCAATGGCGTCTAATTATCCTGTATTTTTATATGTTGAAAACAAAAAATTAGCATAGTATGTTCAAATTACACACAAGGAAATTGAAGCGGAGGTGCTTCCTACCTTCCTAGTCGAGAGAGCTCGGGTTCTTCAAATAACATATCTTGCAACTGTTTTACTTTGACATTCATTTCTCGTACTCCGGAGCTATACGCAAAATGTAAACAACAAATCTCTTTCAATCCATGGTATAGTCGTATAGAAAGGATACGAGACAAATTATCTATAAACTCGGTGTCTGATGACGGTAATAATAAATGTTTCTAATTAGTATAAACTGAACCAACGGTACCTAAAGTATCCACTAATGTTTAAAACCGAATAACCCTCCGAAAGCCCTCTAAATCCGAAAGTTGAACATACACATTCCTAATTATGTTGTTATTTTGTCTATACTCGGACAAACTCCATCATGTACGGTGTTGCAAAGAAATTATTAAGGTTCAAATATAAACAATAAAGAAATCACCTAAAATAAGTTATCCATGGTAACACCGTAACAGTTCAAATTAAGACCATAATGAAATTTGATAAAGCAAGAAACGTGCACCTGTATACATTATCAAGGGAAATCAACCGGTGATGAAGAGCATAATCACTGCCGACATATGTCACAACTAAGCTGCCGGCATCTGGGTGGGGCCAACTCCTTGAAGTAGGAAACCTAAGTATAAATGTCCCAGGTTCTTGCAGGCTTCTCGGACCTTGAAGTGAGAGTTCGACTTCTTCCTTTGTTACAAATCCTTCTATCCACTTTGGCGATGTAGAATTCCACATTGCCTTTATCCGGTCACTAGATAATGTTAAAGCTACCAGGTATAACCAACACCACATCTTCTCAAAGTTTTCTTGGGCCATGTAATCTTGGCATCCGGCAATTTTCCGCAGAAGTTCAAAGTCCTGCAACAATTGTTACCTCAATGAATTTTCATCTGACTATCCAATTTTCACACAGATTTTCTTAATAAAAGAAAATACTAATATTTATTCATACAACACATATGACATCCAGAAATGACGGCAAACAAGTACCCGTATGTATATGAGTACACACACACACAAAATCTTCTGCCGGTTATCATCTAACTATCAATATGAAAAATTGTCAACTTTGAAGGATGTCTTATGTGGGTGCAGGTGATGAGCCGAAGTTCAATCTTGAACGGATTTTGGAAACAAAAATGATTAACACAAGCCTGTACTGCAAGAAACCAATGCTCGCGGGACTTAGAAAATAGGCCAGTAGGGATTGACGAATACATTTGAAGGAAATTGAAAATAAGTATCTAAAAGATCTTTGATTTTTTGGGGGTTTTTTTTTCTTGTTTGTATACTTGATCTTTGAAATTGTTTTCCAGATTTTTGAGGAAACCTCGTGGTAAAAAACCAAGTCTAATCAGATTCTGATGCGTACAACATGAACCTCCATGCACACAGAGCCTCATTCCTGTTATTTCCCTCCAAAAAAATGCAACCATTACTAGAGATGGATGGATGGAAATTTAGATACCTGTTGGGAAAGTGATCTAGTTGTGCAGCAAGCAATCTTCATGAACTGCTCTTCAATCTCGAAAACTGCACTCTCCCATTGAACTCGAAGGTTGTTTTGTGATATCGAATTCCAGGCTATTGTCCCCTCGTCTATCAATCCCTTTGCCATTTTTATTTGATGCCTAAGAGCAGGCAACAACTTATTTCAATTACCAAAAGAAATACAAAAATTCAAACAATGTCTTAAAGAAACAAAGCATTGTAAATTACCTATGATGAGAACATCCAGAGTAGAAGGAAACCTGGTCTGCAAAACCCGAAATTTCATCATCTGAAATGATTGTGGTGATTTCCTTGAGTAAAATAGACCTATCCGTCAAGCCCCCCAGGCAGTACCTAAAAGTTGTTACATCCGAAATTGAATGCCCCCTAATTGACAAACTATTTAAAGCTGGATCCTGGACCCCGGTGCTCTCTGAATCAGATTGGGACGTGTTCACTTCTTCAAAATTTTCAGCCCTTGCCTCTAATCTTGACCCAAAACCATTCTCAACAAGATTGTAAATGGCAATGCAATTGTTTATAGTTCAACACTGATTTATGCTCTTCTTAAATTAACAGTCTATAAAGACATACCCTGATAATGATGATGTTATGGAAAATGAAAAGGAAAAAAGTATCAATCAATACCCGATTCTGCTTAGAGGCAATAGAGTTGTATTCTTTGCTATGTTGGTCTATTTTAGAATTTTTTTCTTCTCCCAATCGAACCCTCTTCGATGTTGGACTGAGTTTTGCTTCATGTGCAGTACTGTGCTCTAGGCCTAATGATTGAGATCCATTAACTGGATGGACTGCAGAGATTTTTTTCCAAATAATAGTTGATGTCCTTGGGGTACAATTCCGAGAGATGCAACGAATTGAAGGGGAGAAATCCTCAAGGAAATGATAGCCCTCGAGCTTTGATATCCCGACCATAATGCAGAACTGCTTATTATCACACTTGGATGAGAGCTGAGATAATATCAGAACCAGACAATTAGTGAATTCAAGATGAATCAATAAAAGAAATAAACAAATACGTTACAGAAAGCCAAATTCTTGCAAAAATGTTTCTCACGGAACAAGATCTGCTAGAAAATTCTACAAATATCTCGAAGCATACATATTGAACAAAAGATTGCACAAACTAAATCTAACATCACCATCTTGGAGATCTTCAGCTTAAAGGATGCTCGGCCCTTTGATAGTTTACTGGGTCGATCAGAAGAGGCAAATTCAATTCCATCACAGCTAGCTAGGAGAGGAGGTTCTTCATCATTTGTCTTCTCCACAGGTAATCGATTATGTGCATACAAGAGTGATGCGATGAACTTTCCAATAAGTAATGTGACAAATTAGGTGCTGAAGGTAAAAAGAGCACTGTGAAATTAAATATAAAGACTAAATTGCCTCTAGTTTCTTGTTTACCGGCTGGCCAAAGGCATTTAATACAACAACATCCAAGGAAAAGATCCTGCGACAAGATGCCTGTGAAAGGGTAAATCTAGAGGAAATATAAGGAGCACTAACACCATAAATATGGTTGAAAATCTGTCTCGTATTTTGTGGAATGAGCAGTTATATTCTATGCTACTTTGACTATTCATTTTTACCAAAGTACCCGTGGTCAACACATACTCAGACTTGCACACATAAATCTTGAAAAATAAAAAACTGGATTTAGAACAAATTCCGAGTAACATAAGCTATATTATTACCACATCAAATGCATAAGACTCAGGATAAAAGCAAAAATATCTACAATATTTACATACCAAGATAAGAATATCAGCAAAAAAAAGTTCGGAACTCTTTGGTATTCACCTTCCCACCAACAATATTCCAAAAGCCATTGTCTTCTTCAATATCAGAGATAGAAGACTCATCGATTGACAATCTTAGAGGTGGATCCTGTCATCGTATTTTTGCATCAGTTTTCTAAAGGACACTGTGTAAGCCACCTTAACGTATCGGTCCTTTATAGACAACGTTGAAGGCAAGACCTTTGCATCATGGATAAAACCCTGCAAGTTACTATCACCACTAATACCAATTAATGTCCTCTTCCTCGAACCATTCGGTATGGAATTTTGGTTTAACAAGGAAGAGAGAAGCAGTTCTCCTGCAATCTCCCCATTAACGTAAAGCCGCACAAAATCAGAAGAGACCTAACAAGAAAAGGAAAAACAGAAAAAATTCACATACGTGGTAATAGCCAGGACAACAAAAATAATATTCATCTATAAAGTATACTTCAGCAAAACCTTAGGCAAAAAGCTACGAGTAATGTCTCCATCCCGGAGCGAAAAAGGAGGAAAACAAACAGGTGCATATCTAAATTGAGGACTGTTGCCTCAAAAAACATTTTTATCCTACTCCTTTCTGATGTTAGATTTATTTTTCCATTTTAACCCTCTTTCGTTTTCTCTTATGCCTTGAGAGATTGGTCATCGGTGTAGGCTATATGACCTCAAAATTTCAGCTACACACTTTCCCAGTTCATCTTTGCTCTTTATCTTTTCCTTTTCCTTCTCTTCGGTGTTCCACATTCTCAAATATTCTGAACAACCAACCACTTATAAAAAAAATGCCCTTGTATTTATAGAATTTACATGAAAATGCCATGTTTCTAGACCATTTCATTCTTATTCGATGTCAGTCCTAAAAACTATTTCAAGTTAAGCACAAAATTGATAACCCGTTTAGAGGCTAGTGTAGTAGCCTATTATCCATGTGATCATTATTGAAGGCAACTAAATAGACCAAATCAAAACCAGTTCATTCATTCCCAAAATTATCTCGAACAATTCAAACATCACGGCAAGATATTTTAATAAACATATGAAAATACATGTAAAGGTGCAGCTCTCGAACCAATAATGCCTTTATGTTTGTAGTTCTATCAGATGTTAAAGGCATACCTCGTATCCAATATGTATCCATTTATGTTGAGGGTGTTCGATCTCTGCAGTGACTTTCGGAACTTCTGAAGGTAATTCGATGTTTCCGGGACCGGGACCGGGAGCTTCATTGTGTCGGCAAGCCAAAGGTAAAAGCATCAATGTCTTTTCATTGAGAACAAGTAAAGGAGAACTTCCGTTGGTCTCCTCATATACCTATAAACAGAAAAACAACTCAACTCATCAGAAAAATCAAAAATCGAAGACTCTTGTAAAGGTAAATTACTACTACAAATTCAAGAAAAATATCATCAAAAATAATGAAGATTAGATTGCTGCTCTAGTAGATTCTAACAGGAGAGCTGAAGAAACATCAGAAATCAAAAAATCACATATGGATCCAAAGTTTTCTGATTGCAGCTTCTGAAACTTCTAAAAACACGAAACACTCGTGAAATCATCAAAGGAAACAGAAAATTAAGAAATGGGTATTTTTCCCAACAACCAAACAGCAAAGAAACTAAACCAAGAACCCTAACCCCAAAAGATCAAAATTTGAGAGAGAAACAGGAACCCAAATCGAAAAAAGGGAGCAGCGGTTGCGGGGAATGTTTTGGAGTCGAAAATGTAAACCCAGAAACATAAAATAAAACCCTTTTCTTCAGCAACTTCAGTTTCAACTTTGAAATCCTTCAACAATATGTAATCTTCTTCTCCTATAATCGGATTATTCTCACCCATGACTTCCCCTACCACTTACTGCTTCAACAGAAGAAGAACAAAGCAGAAAACCCAGAAAAAAATTTCGGTCGGTTTAAAAAGACAGTGACTTGAAGGTTAAAATTAGTTGAAAGTAGGGAGGGCAACGGGTCGGGTTCGGGTCGGGTATTGGTCCCTCCGTCCCCGTCCCTATTTAAAAAATCGGTATCCGTCCCCGTTTAAAAAATTGCGGGAATTTAAACGGGGATTCCCGTCGGGTAATCGGGGAAAACCGCGGGGAAACGGGTATCCCCGTTTAGCATAAACGGTTATTTAAACGGGTATTGGGCCGGGTATTGGGTCGGGTATTGGGCCGAGAATCGGGCCGAGTATATATATATATATATATATATTTAAATTAAATATATAAATATATATATTTTTTATTTAAATTAAATTTATTAATATTATATATATATAAATAATTATTTTTAATATTTATCGGATCAGGTATCGGGCAGGTAATCGGGTAATCGGGGCGGGGATTACCAAACCCGTCCCCATCCCCGTCCTCGTTTATCATTCCCGAACTCGATCCGTTTAATTCGGTTTTCAGTTTTTCCCGTCGGATTCGAGTTTTTTTGCCATCCCTAGTTGAAAGTGAAGTCAAAACGTTGACTACGAAGGACGTGATGGATTTTTATTGGTAACGATATGAAATTGTTATTTCCACTTATCTAATTTTAATATTTAGGGTTATACTATTATTGTTATTATAATTCAAAAAATTGTAAATTTAAATATTTATAATGTAAGGATCGAATTAAAAAATTATATAGAAAAAACGGAAAATATGAACATTATATTTGGGGATAGGAATAGTCCGGGTTGGATCGGATTTTCGGTTCATTTGATTCGAAAATTATACATCTTTCATTTGACATGAATCTGACTCAAAAAATATACATCTTTCACCCAATCCAAAACTGACCAGTCTTTTTGAGATAAAATCTGAATCCAATCTGACCCAACTCGAAATAATATATTTATTAAAAAATATTACTTTTATTTAATAAAAATAAAGATTTAATTGAAAAAAATAATATGTATGTGTGTATTACCGTAATTATCTCTAAATATATAATGTAAAATTATATTTTTTCGGGTCAAGTATTTGTTAACTCTAAAATCGAACTCGACTCGACTCGAACATAATTTTTAAAAAACTCGACCTGACTTGAACCTAAACTTTTAAAAATGAATCTGATCGGTTCGGATTGCACTAATTGAGTTTGGGACTCATGACCATCCCTAATTACGTTACACATGACGATCTTTAGAAATTGAAAAAAAATGAAAATATGTAACGTTTATAGTCATGGATACATGAAAAAATTTATGTGAGAGATGAATTTCTAAAATTTTAAGAATAGAAATTATAAAATTATTGAAGGGATGAAAATAAATTTTTAATAGAAAATACGTAAAAAAATATAAAATATATAATGGTTTTAGAAATCTTATGTAATGATATATATTTGTGCGTATTTTATATAAGTGTTAGATTATATAACACCTACAACATGAGTAAAAGAAAACATTTTATATATTTTCAACTAAATATTCATTCAATCAATATGAGATGATTTAAGTGGTAAGCAGTTTGATACCGTTTAAGCAATGTTTCGAGTTCGAGTCTTTGTGTATGCAGAAAAATTCTACTAGGAGACTCACCCACCAAAGTATGGCGTGTGATACGGATTAGTCCAGATTAGTCAAGACGAAACCTTGGATATATAAAATAATATATTAATTATGTATTTGATCTTTTAAATAACAATTTCTTAAAAATTATATAAAAATGAGAGAAATGCTCTTAGTAGATCTAAAAAAGAATAAAAATAAACAATTTGATCAATCGACCAAATATACTTGTTCATATACATAATATTTATATATTCTAAAACTCGAAGTCCTGAATAGGGTTGTAATCGAGTCGAGTCAAGTTCGAGTATTGTTGAGATTGATTCGAAAACTCTAAAATAGAGCTTGACTCGGCTCGAAAACTCGAGAACTTAAAATTTTTAATCTCGACTTGAACTTTAAACCATTAATTGAAGCTCATAAAAGCTTGAAATGAAAAAAGAGCTTAATTTGACTGAAGCCTCAAACTTAAACCTTAAATACATGAAAATCTTATACTATATTTTTTTAAAATCAACACATAAATATTAATATTATTAATATTTTATCTTTAAAAAATACAATTTTAATATATTATATTTTCGAGTTAATTATCAAGTAGTTCGTTTTAGCTCGTTAAGAACTCGAGTCGAGCTCGAGCTCAAGTCGAATATATTTGAATAGAATATTTATCAAACTTTAATCAAATCGATCTTAAATAACTTACGATTTATCTTGTTTCATATAAAATTAGGGGCGGAGGGTCATTGGGGCCCAAAAGGGCCTTGGCTCCTATTGTAATTTTATTTTTTTATACTATTATAAAAATTGTTAAAAAAAAGGTAAATTACAAGTTTAATATATAAACTTTTTTTTTATTTAAACTTTATTTTTTTTAATTATTTCTAATGTTTAGTTTAAGTTTTAATTTGGTACATGTGATTTAAAAAATTTAACAAAACTCTTGATATGATATTTTATTTTCAATGATGATGTGACATTATTTTATAATAAAATGTCAACATCACCATTAAATTTTTGACGACGAAATACCAAAAATAAAACCTAAAAACATTAGATATAATTTTAAAAAAGAAAAATTCGGATACCAAAACAAAACAAAAGTAATAATTTAGATAATAAACATATAGTTTACCCTAAAGTTTAAAGAGTTTTTTCTCTTTATTTAAACATAATATTATAAGTTGTAAAGTCGTGTTATTCTAGCATAAAATATAAAGATAAAACCATCAACTCTACAATAAAAGTAAATGTCTTTCTGCTATGATTGTCAAATACTTACTAAAGTGGTCAAAATTCAATTGAGTGACAAATTTTAAAGGTAATTGATTAAGCAATAATATATTTATAAACTGTTGTTTGGTTTTATATTTAATTTTAGTATATTTAGTACAATATCACTCATTGACACATTCCGAGATTTGAATTAGTGACGTGTTTTATTATGATTATATAATAGTTATATCTTCGATACCATTTAAAATTGTATTTTTTATTATTTACTTTAATTTTATTTTTAATTTTCTATTTATTATTTTATAGAAATGTGAGAACCATTATGTACATTTGATTTTATCATTTATATTTTTAAAATAAATAAATAATAGAAAAAAATTATATATAAAATTAAATCGGTTAAAAAGATTTAACATCGATTTTAACCTCGATTAATATTAAATTCTGGTTCCGTCCTTAATCCTAAGCTCGATCGATTAATATTTAGTTTAGTATTTATATTTTAATCATATTTGTCACGTGTGGTATTATTATGAAGCAATAATTAGGAAAGAAAGGTGCATCCTCGTATCTTTCTCTGCCAGTTCATAATACAAGAACCATGCTTGCCTTAAAAGTTGGTCCATGGCATGGACAGCTCAACCCCATTATAAAAACTTTATTTTCATAAAGATTTCTCGACCGTTGATAAAAAAATTTAAATACTGAAATTTATTTATTTATATTCAAATATTCGACGAGTTCGTTTTAATAAATAGTTCGATATTATTTAAGTAAAATTTTGGATTCAGATCTTCATATATGTAAAAAAAATTCGTTAGAAGATTAACCCACCGAAGTCATATAAGTTGTGGTGGAACTTAGTAATAGAGTTTGTGGGTCAATTTAAAACTTTGAAAAGTTTGGATATTTAAATTAAAAATTTTAAAAATATTGAAGGGTTCAATTTACATTGTTTTAAAAAAAAGTTGGAGTTTAACTAAATTTTTTGAAAACTTGAGAGACTTAATGGGATTTTTTTAATTATAGAAGGATTTAATTTAATTTTTTCAAAATTTTGGAGGGTCATGGCCCCTACACGGCCTCATGTAATTCCGCCTATGCAAGAGGCGTAGATCGATCCGAATTAGTCAGAACGAAACCTTGGAATTAATATAACAAAAAAATAATACGACCCTTCATTTTAAGGGATTTTCTTTAAATATTAAATTTATAAAAATATTAATTTTTAATTGACTTGATGAGATAAACTGTTTTTTTTCTTCAAAACAAATAATAAATTTAAATGATAATTTTGTGAATAAAAAATGATCAATATGATTATTAAATAAAAAATCATCATATAAAATAAGAAGAAAAGAGAATATCAAATCAAATAAAATAAAATATAATTTATTTTATTTTATTGTGTTTATTATATGGGGCATAAAACTTTTCAACTTGTGGGTATAATTCAAAGATTGGGACAATGCCAAGGACAGGCAACCTTACATTTTTAATAAAATATTATTGCATATATTTATAAGGTAATATGTTCATGAATCACTAACATCATATTAAGTTTAACTAATAATTATAAAACAATTATTCCACATATAATTGAGAAAATATACCTTTGTTATATTATTAATATTTTAATTTTTTTGTTACAAAAAAGTTTAGGTCATATGTGGCTCGAGTTTAGAGCCAATACATACTTAAGACTCAATTGTGATTTACATAGGAATTTACATATTGTCCGCCAAGAATATCGGTAGTAGGATTCGAACTTGATCTTACAAGTTCAAATTCCTGAATCCCAACCACTTATACCAACACCCGTTCACTTGAAAAGTTATATTATGTTTATATTGTTCAAAATTGGTCAATTCTTATTATTCTATCATATCTTATATTGTATAAAGTTTTGGTGTGTGAGAATCTCGCGGTATCTTTTCTTGGGTTAAATATATATTTAGCCCCTAAAGTTGGACAATTTTCTTACGTCAGTCACTAGAGAATTTTATTTTTATAAAAAATTAGAATATAAGTCAAAATGATCATTTGATAAAATTGGGGGCTAATTTTGACATTATACCAATTTTTTTAGCATTTGTTATAAATTTTTTTGTGTAAATTACGTCTTTAGTACATAAACTATCAGTTT